TCTTTTTCTTTATGTCGTTTTATTGATAAAATCTAAATTCTACGAGTGCAAGGCAAATGTTAGAAATGTTAGCATTAAAAATGGGTAAAAAGGATCGTGAACATTTCCTATAAAAATTTTAACTGGAAAGCAGCCAAGAAGAACTTAGCGTTAAACAAATCAATTGTCTACTCATCAAAATTTATAAAAATAAAGTGAGATATAAAATTATAGTAATTATGTCGGGTGCATTTATTGAAACCTTGCACAAATTTAAAAATAACTAGTGGCATAGATCTAGTGTTTTGTTAATATACCCGTGTATGCGAAGTTTGAAACTGTATAAGCTTCCACAAACGAATCTCTATTTCTAAAGTTTTTAACCAAAGAATATTTTTGATTAATATAAACTTTAATCTTTACTGCTTCTAGTTCAGAACTTAAGACAGCAGCTAAAGTAAATTTTGTAAATAAATGAAGGCTAGTATTGGTGAGATCTGTGTTTGATCTTTGGATGCTAGTTGTATAACTCTGATAATTCCATAATAATGTAGTGAGATTGTTTCATGAAGTAATTTGGTATTTTTCTAGCTTAGTATTGGTTTTAGAAAAACAATTATGATTAAAATCTTACCTTGTATATAACCACTATACTAATAGTAAACAATATTAAACTTTACACATTTGTTTTGATCACTTTTTGTTTTACCAGAACAGGTACTTTATTTCCGTGGCAACAGATTTTTACGTTAGGAAGACGACATTTTTGAGTTACGATCAATAAACGGAACTGGCACTTTACTCTATTTTCGGTTTCTAAAATACTAATGAATTAAGTAGGCCTTCATTTCAGGTAGGTTGACGAAGTTTAAGATCATATTTGCTTGATTCCTTCAAATTTGGAATGATTTCGGGTGACCGAAATTAGTACTTCACGCTATTTCCGTGTTCTTAACAATAACAATAATTTGATTATGTTATATAACTTTTTAAGCGCCATTCGTTTTCTAAGCGATTCTTTTTTGCTTAAATTGTATAAAATTGAGCGGGAAATTGTTGCTTTATAATGGGGGGTTTCGCTCTAATTACAATTTTTTCACAAACCAACATAATTTGATAATTTTATCGCAATGATATTCTTAAAATGTTTACCTCTATGTGTTTTCTCAACAAAAAAACAAAAAAATTACAGTTTTGTCACAAGCTTCTATCCTAATAAATAAAAGCCCAGACTATGAGATCAGTATCTTCAACTATATATGAAGAACTTAATACGGACTTTTGTTGAAAATATATGAGGGTGTTTTAAGTGTATAAACAATTTTTTTTAAAGAAGGAAAGTAAAATAAATTGATATTCAAATGTAGAAACACACTTTTAATTATGCAACCGGAAAAGTGTTTATAGTTGTGACAAGAATGCAATAAACTATGACGTCACATGACACATGTTTAAACTATGGAAAGTACACAAACACTAATGTCGTCATCTCCCAATTTTAGAATGTAAATAAATGAACTATTTCATTCAGATAAGATTTAGATCTATAGATGTACTTATTGGGACATACGGTATGAAATGTATACAATTTCCTCGGCCAAAAATAATACAAATTACTTTAAAAAACAACAGAAATACCATTAAACAATCGAGTTTTTAAAGGAATCATTTAATTCTCTTAATCAGTGTGTGCATTTAATATTTGCTGTGTTGACTAATAATGTATATAATTTGGTTTTTCTAAAAGGTATTGGTAGCCTATGTTATTTTAGTTATTTCTTTGCTTTGTCACTAATATCGTCAACGTGTATCAAAGCACAATGCGTTTTGACCAATAACTATTTTATAAAATATTCTTCGAAAAATGTATAACATTAAAAATATATAGAACTATGATTCACGTGTAACGGGTGCTGATGGCTCCTATTTCTAAAACCCTTTTGCTCTGGAAGTGTCATCTCAACCCTTATATATATATATATATATATATATATATATATATATATATATATATATATATATATATATATATATATATATGGAAATCCAAACACCTAAACGTAGCGGGCTCATTTTTACAAAACTGGTGCATTATAACAGTGTAAAGGTTTGCGCGCAGTTTTGTGGGTGAAATTTCAAATCAATTTCAATTCTTTAAATATTTGTATAGGCGACGTCATTTCCGCTATTTTAGGTCTCATATTTTAAATATTTTGTTCTGTGTTCAACGCCGGTGCTATTTAGTTCTTTATTTATAGACTTCTGTATTTTCCTATTTGGTATTTAACATTTTGAAATAAAAACGGGCATGATGATATAATAAAATTAGATTTTTGCATAATTTAATATGCTACTATTATTATAATTAATGTTTTACCTTTTATTTTTTTATTTAATAGCGTTGTATTTAAATTTAAAAGCTGGATTTTTACTATTTATAATTTATTTTGTCACTACTAAAGACATAATTTCCACCATTTTAAATTTAATTTGGCGCGCAGCGTTCAGCGACGGGGCAATTTAGTCTCTTATTTATAGGATGTCTGTATTTAATTTTTTACAAGCTTTTATTTATCATTCTTAATAAATAAAACAGGGTTGAGGATAAAATTAAAATACTGCTATAATAATTTCAAAACAGGTTTTACTTTCATTTTTTTAAAGCGATACATAGCTGCATTGTTTACTAATTATACTTTATTTTATCACTCCGCCACTAGCAATAGAACTAAAACAAGTTAATTAAAAAGTCTAGTGACATTTAAGCGCAATTTCCTTATGTTACCTAAAAATAGCTCTGACGTTTAATGCTGGGGTGCGTTCAAGCTAGGAGAACGATCGGTTTGTAGGTGTTTATGTAATTTTAAAATTTGTGACCGAACGAAAGGATATTTTTGAAAACTTTCTTCGGCAATATTGTTCTAAATTATGGCAGAAATCGATTGGTAAATGTTTCAAGTCGCTAAGTGGTCTGGTTGCCGAGATATGGGCCGAAAACAGCATTTTTTCGAGGTTTTTTGGATTTTCCGGGAAATCTATTAAGGAATTCCAGAATTTTTTTGGCCCACTATCATCCTCGTAACTTGCTTAACATAATTGCTTTTGGAACTAGTCCTCGATATTGCTTCGTTGAGGAGGAGATACGACTTAAAGCTGCGAACACACATTCCCAGAAAAGACGAGTTAATAAACGCAATTCTCCAGAATGGAAATTGCGCTAAAAAGATTTGATGAGATTGGGTTTGTTTTACGATACGTCACATTTGGTCTTTTATTGTACTATGGTAGAGTTAAAATTTGTTTATATGGGTTTGATACCAAGTTTAGATTGATATAATGTAAGTTTAATTAAATTTCAAAATGTATTTAAAAATATAGTTGGTGTATTATTTGAGATAAAAAACTTAGGAATGTAATTTCTGGCAATTTTATCGGTTGGTTTATTTGTCCATTCAGATAATTGTCTCATTCAGGCAAATATCTATTCGTGCATTTTGTCGCATTCAGCAGGTGTCCATTCGGGACAATTCTCAAATTATAGGTATTTTAGATCACATATAAAATGAAAGTAATCCAAGTTTAAAATTTTAAAATTATATATGAATTTTCGTCTACCTAAATAAAATATTACTCAAGTTACCATGTTCCAACAAAAATAGAATAAAAATATAGCTTCCGGTTACCATAATCGCTTCAAAGTAATACTTATATGTGAAATTTCTATTACCTAACATAACCGGTGCCCAAGTTATAGGCTTGTGAGAAACTGGAAGTAAATTAAGTACTACTTTCGTTTACCGGAAATCGCTTTCAAAGTTGGGACTTAACCCTAACCCTACCCACCGGGGCTCTGAACATAGGTGCATCATTAATTTAAATTAAACACTAGTTTATTATTGTAATTTTGTATCAAAACTGTATGTCAACGAAACCCTAATAGTCAAAGGATATGTGGTCAAAAGTCTGTATCACAATTATTTTTTATTTTGAAAACTACACATTTGATACTGTAATTATGTATTAAAATTCTCTAGCATAACTGACAATGTCTTGAAGTTATCGTGTTCAAAGGCATACGGACACAATTCATAATTTTGATAATCCTTGATTTAGAAATTTTTGCAGGTTCAGAATAAGTACTTCACATTCTATGCACAGTAATGTAGGGAGATGTAAACGGAAAAAAAATATTAAAATTCAATTTGATTTTTGTACACTGTTAATTAAAATACTTCCTCTGTACCAAAATTTTCAGAATTTATAACATGCACACACTCGCTAAAGTAAAACACAATCTAAAACGTTTCTAAACCGAAGAAAAAATAAATAAATACAAATAAAATGCGACATACGTTTTCCTTTCACGTGTAATGAATTTACTATTCAAGGTAAAAAAATAAATTAAAGAAGATTAACTGTTATTGAAAGTACATGCTTCGATGATTCGGCGTACTACAGTAAACTGTTATTAAATAATTTATATATATATATATATATATATATATATATATATAAACATCGGAGAACAGTAGGTCATATTTCATGTACAAAATGATATGAACTAAGATCATATGACTCAAAACAAAAGGAACTTTAGCGTTACCGAGCGTAGCAATTATGCCATCCATTTGAATACTACAAAATATTACCCTGTTAAGCATGCAGCAAAAGCATACATCTCTATTTTAATTTTAAACATAATGCTTTGATTATTATGTTAACTATGATTATATATAAGAACGGTGTGACTAAATTACGTAGCAACCGAAATAGACTTTTTGAAGATTTTTTTTTCAAATATTGTAAACCATCGTATTCTAAAGAATAAAAAAAATGTATATATTTTATATCAGTCTTAAAATTGTGAGAAACAGTGATAAACACGTGAATAGACAATAATTCTCTTTTAATTAAGAAATGAACAGTCACTGTTATTAAACACACCATAAAGGAAAACTAACTACAAAAAATGAACTAAAAAAATGTTTTTTTTTTGTTTTGTTTTTTTAAAAAATGCACAGTCATTCCTCACCAAAGCTACACCACACAGATATATTTTTATAATTCCGAGACAATTATCTACTGAACTCCTAAATTTGTAATAATATGTGCACAGTTACTTGTATTGTTCTTGGATTGTGCTTCGAAACAGTGCTAACAGTGCGTTTTCGAAAATAACATTTACATTTGAAAAATATATCTAATCTGTTACTAACAGTTTGAAAATTAAAAATCATTATTGGTGATGTTTTTGATAGTGTTTCTTTTAACAAGTTAGTCACTCGGCTGAAACAATTCAGACAACATGAGATGCTGTGTGGCAAACAAATCCAAGCAAATTGTCGGGTTCTCTATATTATGAATGAGAACAATATACACTTTTTTGTTGTGTTTCATGTCAGTTAAACGTAGCTCCTCAGGTTTTCCTGCAATGACAAATATATATTTAGCATACGTATTATCCAATGATATTTTAAAAATACATAATTTTGCTACAAAAAAAAAGCCCCATGACAATGACATATGCCAAGTCGGGTTATATCAAAAAGTAAATGATTTCGTATTCTTTTATTAACAACAATTTATAATTGGGCTGAAAAACATTTTGAAGATGTTAAAAGCTGAGTATATGTTAAGGCTGAATTTATACAAACCTACCTGAAATGACAACAACTTTGGTTCCTACCCCACATTGTGCATTGAAGTCCAATAAACAATTTTTCATTGTGTCACTTGGGTTTTCGATGCTGTGCACAGTTTTTAACTATTAAAAATGTACTAAATTAGCATTTTACATTTCACCTTAAACTTTGATTATAATTTATCATTTTTTAACGTATTTTTAAAAAATTTGATAGTAGGCTTTCGACCCCTTCTATTCCCTTCCCGATGCATACAAAGGCTGCCGTTGAAGCATGACGTCAATAATAGGTAATGCGGACGGTCAAGGAAAAAAGAGAAAAGGCCCACGGCCCAAAAAAACACACACACACCCAACACAGCACATTTCTTTTATAATTAACTTTTCTACCAGTTATTTCAATAAATATGAATCACTATTTGAGGCTGATATGTCGTTGTATTTTAATCTAACCAGGCTGGCGGTCCACCTTTGATGTAAAATACAATTACTTACTTAAGTAAGTAAGTAAGTAAGTAAGTAAGTAAGTGAGTAAGTAAGTAAGTAAGTAAGTAAGTAAGTAAGTAAGTAAGTAAGTAAGTAAGTAAGTAAGTAAGTAAGTAAGTAAGTAAGTAAGTAAGTAAGTAAGTAAGTAAGTAAGTAAGTAAGTAAGTAAGCAAGTAGTAAGTAAACAAGCTAGTAAGTTAGTAGGTAATAATAATAATAATAATAATAATAATAATAATAATAATAATAATAATAATAATAATAATAATAATAATAATAATAATAATAATAATAATAATAATAATAATAATAATAATATAGTATTATTATTAACATTTTAACAACAACACCATTAATTAATATTATTGATATTATATTTTTTCATTATTGTGCATTATTAAAGCAAATTAGTATTTTAGAAATGGTTTTTGGAACGCCTTTAATTGCATTTCAATGTTAATTATCTTTCCGTTAATATCGTTTTTGACATGGAAGAGAACATGTTTTTAGTAAATTTGGTTTTTGCAAACTACATAAAATATGGAACTGTGTTATGTAATTTTGTGCAATTTTTCCACACCATTGTTTTATTCGTTTTATGTAAAAATATTTTGATAAAATCAATTTCTTTAGTCTAGTAATGCACGCATTACACATTTGCATTTACATTTACAAAGAATATTATATGCTAATATTAAGTGAGTTAAAATGCACGCACTACACATTTGCATTTACATTTACAAAGAATATTATATGCTAATATTAAGTGAGTTAAAAAAGCAAATTACTTGACAATCAGCCATTTCTTTCAAAATTAAATCAGGTTGTTGCCTAACGTCGCAGACACACAGATTTTCAATAAGTCTAAACTCAGCAAGGCAGAATCTGTGCAATATTGTTTGCAACGTGATTGATATCTGTCCTGGTTGTACTGAACACGATTCAAAATCCCAAAATAGTCCAAAACCTCGAACTGCATTTTCAACTGTTGATGGTATTGGCTGTGCGCCTGTAAATTTTAGAATTTTAATTTAAATTTGAATTTAAATTTAATGAACTTTAAATTAAAATAAATGTATGTACATTAAATTGATGGGAATTTTTAGAAATATAACTTCAGTTTCAATAATTACTGTAGAAGTGGTTTAAGTGATCCAAATAAATTTCAAATAATGTTTTTAAAATACTATTTTTTTCTTTCACAAATAAAGTAGCTTAAAAAAAGATCGCAATTACTGCTAACACAGTCTGTAGTTTTTTTTAGAAAATTAAGGTCAATTTTTAAAAATAGATACTAATTTACTAAGTAAAACAATTTATTTTGATATTTTAATTTATGTTTTGAAGGCAACTGTTTTTTTTAAGCGCTATCAAATACTGTATTTCTTTTAATGCTAATAATATGCGTAATATTTACTAGTTACATGATACTATACTTTTTAAAACAAAACGAGTTTACTTACAGTTTTAAAACATTTTGGAACAATAAAGCTATACTAGTGTTAAAAAACGCAAGAGTAACTAACCTTTTTTAGCGCAGCCTTCTCGGACGAGGGTGGTGCATACACTAGCACTCTCTGAAGCTATGTCTAGTAAATTAGTTTGCGTGTCCCTTTTCTAGGTAAAATATAAATAAGTTTTATTAATAATAATAACCCAGAATACAATAGTTTTAGAAATAAACACAATTAAAATGTAGAAGTTTGACAATTTTTGATTTAAATCAGGGGTCTCCAAACTTTTCAGCAAGAGGGCCGCATTAACTATCAAATATCAGTTCGGGGGCCAGAGTTTCTTCCATCCATCACTTTTGAGTGGTGATGCCACAGTGCCCCCCACCCCCAACGAAATATAATTATATACAAAAATATATACACATTTTAAATGCCCAGCCCCCCCCCCCCCCCAGGAGAAAAAGTCTGAAAGAAACACTGTCCGGTTGACAACACACTGAAGGTCCAAGTTTGTTCTCCTTGGGCAAACGCAAAAACCCACCCATCATTTTTAGAACTTGTCTCCAAGGAAGTAATTTGCTTGCAATTCAATGACCTCCATCTGCAGTTCATCTGGGCAACGGGTTACATTTGCTTCAAATGAGTTTTGAAACAGTCTCACTTCTTCTGCCTTTGATTCCTATTCAGAAAACCGCTACTAAAACTGCAGCTAGAGGTCTATGATAATCTCGCATGCAAATGATGTGGGGAACTCAGCTATTGCTTCAGCAATGAAGACCTTGCACTGCTGAAAGTGCGTCAAGTTGTTGCCCTGTATTGCTCCAAAAACATTGAACAGCTGTCCAGCGACCCATCCATTGCAATTGAAAAATTGCAAAACTTGTAAGCAGTTTGACTATTTGAGTCACAATGTTTTCATCAATGTCTGCAACACGGAGGGCAATAGTATTCGCACCCAAAGCTACATTTTCAAATTGTTTTGGATTTTCCGGGCAAAGTTCCTCACCCAACTCTAACAAACATTTTTTCCGTGAACAAAAAGATCTCCGCGGGCCGGATGAGAGGACCACGCGGGCCGCATTCGGCCCGCGGGCCGTAGTTTGGAGACCCCTGTTTTAAATGAAGAATAAAAGCCTGTATTTTAAGAGATGAAGTCTGACGAATTATTTTACGGGGGTTTCATCAATGCGTCACCAATCCTAATTTTTTAGACGTTTGATCTTGTTTTCTGAAAGCTAAGTTATTAAAATGTAAACATTGCATGCACTATATTTCTTGGATCATATTTGTCGGGGCACGGGTTTACCTATGGTGTATGAAAACCTTGAGCGTACGTTATTCACTCTACGTAATAGTGAGGTAGAAAACACACCAGCGACCGCCCAGGTGTCAGGGATGTAGAGGACGGCTCTTGTGAGCCCCCGGTTACACTACCGCGTACGGCCCTTGGCTGGGTTTAATCATCAAATGTCGTGTGCCACCGTGTCAATATTATAGGGTGCTCCTTAAAAGCGATTCGATTTAATAAATGGCTATAATACTAAATCTTATCCAAACTTATTAAAACGACGTATGCACCATAGCGCTCAAGGGATAGCCCTGGGCGCCAAATCGCACCCTACACGGGCGTCGGCGGACGCACCTGATTCCGTTTAGTGAACAACTATTATGCCCCATTGTATCCATAGTCTATCGCATTGTTTAAAACGACCTAGGTGCCATAGCGCTCAAGGGATAGCCCGGGGTGCCAAATCGCATTCTGCCGGGGCGCCGACAAACGCGCCTGATTCAATTTAGTGAGCGACTTTAACGCCCTATCTTACCAATTGTCTATCATGCTGTTTAGAACGAACCTAAGCGTTAGAGCGTTCACGGGAAAACCCATGGCACCAAATCGCAACCTGCAGGGGCGCCGGCAAACGCGCTCGATTCGATACAGTCAACGAGTATTGTTGCCCATCGTGTCTTGTCTTTAGTGTATAGCCTTTAAAAAAACGAACGTAGGCGCCATAGTGGTCACAGGGAAGCCAGGGGCGTTTCTGGTGAAGCATTATCCAGGTCGCCGGTGGCTGCGCCTGTTGAAGTTTTAAAGCTGAATATAGTAGTACCCCTTACCCGTTATGCAGGGAGCCCAATTGACGGATACCAAGTGCTAAGATAGTCACTGTGGCACTCGGATGAAAGGTATCAAACCGCAATCGTCACCCCTTCGAGTTAGAAATTATTTTTGCAGAAACTTCCCCAATGACTGTTTTCAACAACTTCCCAAGCTTTCATGGCGATCGGATAAAAGGTGTAGTAATGCATAAAAGACAGAGAGACAATCACACACACATGCGTTGCTTTTTATATATGTAGATAGGAAGCGAGCAATGTATTATCTAAAAACTTTTCAAACATAGAAGACACTCACTGTGGATAATAAACTTAAGTTTGTTAAAAAAATAGTTTTACAACAATACATACAGTTTTATAATGCTTAACCAGACGGTATTGACTGACAAAAAGATCTTTGAATGTTTCTCAAAATACAGACGATCATTCAATAACATGAGAAGCTTTAGTAAAAGCAGTGAAACAATGTTTAAAAGCACGAATGCACGAAAGCAAAAAACACACACAAACACACTCACTCACACACACAGAAAGACACACAAGCATACACACACACAAACAAACACACACACATATATATATGTATATATATATATATATATATATATATATATATATATATATATATATATATATAATGTTAAATGGATATTATGTAATATATTTATATAAAAACCGACTCACAGCAGAACCTTTTCTTTCATTTTTACTAAGCTTTGTTTCACTAACACCTTGTTTGTTGGCATTTATTTGTTCTAGATTCAGTTGATAACAAATGTTTTTAAATAATACATTAGTTTTCATAGTATGTAATTATAAAGAAAAAAAAGATTATTTTTTTTCTAATCATATTTAAAAAGCGTAATAAACGCTTCAATATCGGGCTTTTAGAAAAAAATAATAATAATGCGCTAAAAAGGAGAAATAAATGATTTTCTTTAAATATAATAACTACTATTTGAATAACTAAAAACAAAAGCGTGGGTCGCTTTATCATGTATTGAATACTTTTGCTAGAATTTAAGAAGCAACATTCGCTTTTAATTTTCGTTATTTAAATAGTAGTTTATTATAATATTTAAATAAATCATTTATTTTCTTCTTTTTAGTGCATTATTATATAAAAAAATTGTTATTGAAACGTTTATCAAACTTTTTTTTTAAAGCCGACCTAATTTAAAAATTTTAAGCGAGTTAAATAAAAGCTTGTGAAAAGGTAAAATTAAGAAAAAACTTGTAATTTAAAAATATCTATAAATGTTTAATCAATACAATTTTATAAGTAAGTACTAATTTAAAAAATTATAAGTACTAAAGTTAAAAATCAGTTAAGAAAAACTGCAAAGACATAGAAATCATACAAAATGACATTTGGTAATACAATTATTGAGAACTATGTTAAATTTGTAAACGTTTTAAAAGTGTATTCTATATAAGCAAATGTATATACATATATATGTATATTACCCCCTGTCAATTACTCCCCCCCTGTCAATTACCCCCCTCCCAGTAGGAGGGTTTAGGTTTAGGTTTAGGTTTAGGTTGAGGGCTAGTGCTAGGACTAGGGTTAGGGTTAGGGTTAGGGCTAGCGTTAGGGTTAGGGTTAGGGTTAGGGTTAAGCTTAAATCAACGTCTAGCGTTAGTTTTGGTTTTGTGTTAAGTTTTAGGCTAATGTTGATGCTTAGGTTTTGGTCTTTTTCTTAAGTTTAGGATTAAGGAAATATATAGGTATAGAATTCTAATTAGAGTTAGGATTCTAACTTGAGAGGGGAGGGAGGGTAATTGACTGGGGAGTAATTCCTCCGGGGGGTAATGTCGGGGGGGAAGATGTCCCGTGGGGGGGGGGGGGGTAATTTCCGGTGGGTAATGTCCTATAGCCATACATATTATATATGTGCGTGTGTATGAAAAATCTATACTTTCTACAGCTGTCTTGTAGCAGGATTCCTCCAGTAGTGCTACGTTGATAATCTGTCCTAGAACGGTTTTTCCATTAATTGTGTTCTTAGCACTGCAAAGAATTTAAATTTTTTGAATGGTTAAACAATATATAAAGGTCATTTTCATTTTGGTTTTAGCACAAATATTGATAACAATGTATGCATAGCCTTAAGCAACTGTCATAAATACCTCTCTAAATTATTCTTATCATCCAATGAAACAATCGTAAATTTATTTCCAACAGGTTGTACTTTGCCTTTCCAGGGTTGAGTTAATATTTCAAGCTCAAGTTTTATTTTCTCCTTATCGCTGGAACTGCTGATTTTGTAGCCGTCGATTATTAGAATAGGATCCGAAGTGTCCTTTCAAAGAATACAAAATTGTATTCGTCAGTGGTAAGGAAGGCCTACATACAGAAACTAATACATCGATGCAACTATATATATATATATATATATATATATATTTATATATATATATATATATATATATATATATATATATATATATATATATATATATATATATATATATATATATATGTGTGTGTGTGTGTGTGTAGTTGTGTGTATGTGTATATGTGTGTGTATGTATGCATGTATGTATATATGTTTGTATGTATCTATCTAATTATTTCATATTAAAGACTTACAAGATATCCAGATCTATCGGATAAGTCATGTGTGAGATCCTCCCAGCGAAACGTTTGTGTCGCGTGTTGCAAGAGAGCTGGGTTTGCCTTCTCTTCATGCACCAGGGCAACTTGAAGTTTGCACTTGTTTTTAAAATGGGAGAGCTTGTCGGAAAAGTTGACGTCGCCTGTAAACAATACGCGTTAGTATTTTTGACGTTTTAAAAATAGGATAAAATTAATCAAAAAATGCTTTATTTTAGATTGATAGAAGAAATTGAAATTTATCTTCACTGAATAAATAATTTCAGAACATTTTGCCATTCTTTTACTACCAAAGCCTTTTAATTGTTAATTTAGAATATTTTAAAATCGGTATTCGGATTCAATTAAATGATCATACTTTTTTAGTTTTTAACACTTTTTGTTTACTCTAATTCCTCTCTATCCCCCTCTCTCTCTCTTTGTATATATATATATATATATATATATATATATATATATATATATATATATATATATATATATATATATATATATATATATATATATGTATACAATAATTTAGAGTAATACTATATTAAAACAAAATGATTAATTTTAAAATAGCAAATATTGCGCAATTACTTGAGATCAATACCACTTTAGATCCTGTTGGTGCATCTTTTACAAATTCATCCATTAGACCTTTAATTTTTTCATCAGCAGCATTTTTGGCATCAGCATCAACATGTAGGATGCTTACCTAATTTATAGAATAAATATGTTAGACAGAAAAATGAAATCGAACTATATACATATCTAACATATATATATATATATATATATATATATATATATATATATATATATATATATATATATATATATATATATATATATATATATACATATATATATATATATATATATATATATATATATATATATATATATATATATATATATACATATATATATACATATATATATATATATATATATATATATATGTATGTGTATGTGTGTGTGTATGTATATATAGAGTAAAGATGTGATAATCATTAACTTAACTGTTCCACTATTTAAATCTTTGATAGTCATTTGTGATTCTTTTTTCGTGTCACACACGCAAGCAAACGTCTTGAGTTCAAATTCCGAGTCCTCGGGAATGAAGGTTTTTCTTATCTTCTCGACCAGTTCTAAAACTGACTTTCCTTTTGGTACACAACAGTTCTGAAGATCCCAAAAAATGCCGACGGTCTTTGCTCTTTCTGTAGGTGGGACGTTAAATTAAATTAAATTATAAACGTCAGATCTGAATATAATGTATAAGACTCTTACAATGTTGACAATTAATTACGAATTGCTTATTTTAAAAAGTACAAATGAAATACAATGCATTTTTTTATTTTATTTTTTAAAATTTTACAAACAAATTCATTTTGTAACATTAAAATTTCCTTCTAACAAACCGTCGTTTGTTATGTCTACTAGGAATGTGCAAAATTATTTTGCTTTGTTTTTAATTATTTTTTAAAATATGCTTGCATGCATGCCAATATAACAATTATGGTTTATTTAAGTAAATGCAGAGTCCATTTATCAACCAAATAATTAAAACATATTTTACTTTGCAAGCTTTAAACTAGGGCTCATCCATAAATGACGTCACGCATGGTGCAATTAGGCTACCGGGCTAGATTTTGAGCACGTTGTGATTATGTTTGCGTGTGTGTTTGTGTTTTCTTTGTGTTTGTGTTTGCGTTTGTTTTTGTGTTATTGTTTGTGTTTGTATTTTTTATTTTATTTGTGTTATGTTTCCTTTTTTTTTACTTTCTCGTATATACGTAGTATAGAGAAAGTATTGTAATCGTGCAAAAAAAAAAATCGAGATTTTTACAAATCTCGACGTTTTACACCTCACTAATACGGAAAAACATAACTTTGCAATCTTGTCCGTATGTCTGTCTGTCTGTCTGTCTGTCTGTCCGTGTGTAAACACGATTACTTGAGTACCGTTACAGCTAGGTTGATGAAATTTCATATATAAGTATTTTATCAAAATCGTAGATCCGTATCAACTTTTGAGCGATTTCCGATAACCGGAAGTGGTACTTTTCCTACTTTGAATTTTTCAAAAGCCTATAACTTGAGTACTATTTCAGACAGATAAGTGAAATTTAACATGTAAGTAAAAGATCTAATTCTCTACCGTCTGTCAAATTTTGAGTAATTTCCGTTGACCGGAAGTAATAATTTACGCTACTTCCGATTTCTCAAAAAACTAATGTAAATTTTAAAAGTACTAATAATATTGCGCACTATTATGCGCTTTTTTATTTGGCGTTCACTTGGTGTGCAATTAATTTGTCTACGAGATTTTATTCTATTTTTACAAGCTTTTATTTAACTCACTTCCTCGTCAGTCGTCAGTCTAGACGGAAACGCAGGAGTGAAAATTCGGACAGTTCTACTTGACCGATACGATTCACCGTTGGCTCGTGAGTCAAGACATGAAGACAATGCAATCTGAATCTAAATTTGACTTAATTGGATGCCTAATTAATTTTTTATGAATTAATTAAATTTTGGACCGAATTAGTAGGCATGTCTAGCCAACCACACCACACGCGTCATCACCTTCAATAGCTGCGCCATCACGTAATGGCTGCGTTCAAAAACAATTGCGCGCCTACTGAACGTGATGTTCAGTAGGCGCGCAATGGTGTTTAGTCATGTAACTCTATTGTAAATAAAACATGTAAAGTACTGAAAAAAAATTCATAAAAAACGTTTTAATAACAAGCTTTTATGTAATGATGCACTAAAAAGTAGAAAATAAATTATAGACTACTATTTAAATAACTATAAAGAAAAGCGTGGGTGTCTTCCTTAACATTAGTAATGGTATCCAATAGATACTAAAGTGACCCACGCTTTTCTTTATAGTTATTTAAACAGTAGTCTATAATTTATTTTCTACTTTTTAGTGCATCATTACATAAAAGCTTGTTATTAAAACGTTTTTTATGAATTTTTTTACAAGCTTTTATTTAACTCACTTCCTCTGTCGTCAGTCGTCAGTCGTCAGTCTAGACGGAAACGCAGGAGTGAAAATTCGGACAGTTCTACTTGACCGATACGATTCACAGTTGGCACGTGGGTCAAGACATGAAGACAATGCAATCTGAAACTAAATTTGACTTAATTGGATGCCTAATTAATTTTTTATGAATTAATTAAAATTTGGACCGAATTAGTAGGCATGTCTAGCCAACCACACCACACGCGTCATCACCTTCAATAGCTGCGCCATCACGCAATAGCTGCGTTCAAAAACCATTGCGCGCCTACTGAACGTGATGTTCAGTAGGCGCGCAATGGTTTTTAGTCATGTAACTCTATTGTAAATAAAACATGTAAAGTACTGAAAAAAAAATTCATAAAAAACGTTTTAATAACAAGCTTTTATGTAATGATGCACTAAAAAGTAGAAAATAAATTATAGACTACTATTTAAATTACTATAAAGAAAAGCGTGGGTCTCTTCTCAAATATTAGTAAAGGTATCCAATGGGTACTAAAGTGACCCACGCTTTTCTTTATAGTAATTTAAATAGTAGTCTATAATTTATTCTCTACTTTTTAGTGCATCATTACATAAAAGCTTGTTATTAAAACGTTTTTTATGAATTTTTTTTTAAAACTTTAAGTATTTAAAATGGATTAAAAATCATGTCTATAGCCCGAGTTCCCATCCCCTGTTATTTTATATAAGAATATTCGAGAAAGTTTAGGGGAGATCACTCCCGGTTTATTTAGTTTTGGTTTTGGTTGGTTGTGGTTAGAGTGGGCAATGCCAGATATAAGATTATGCTGATTACTAAACACACAAGTCATGGTCCTTTACAGATAGGTTTTTCACAGAAGCCAGTGCAGGGCCTGACTTGGACGTCTAGTATAAGTATATACGTCAATGTTAAGAGGAGCAAACTTTAATGATTTTACTTTCTTGTATACGAGGAAGTATAGCGATCGTGCAAAAGATCGAAATCGAGATTTTTACAAATAACGACGTTTTACACCTTCCTGAGTCGGAAATTCATAGTTTTGCATATTTGTCCGTATTTCTAAGTGTTTTTCTGTGTGTTTGTGCGCATGTGTATCTGTGTGTTTGTGACCACGATAACTTGAGTACCTTTACAGCTAGGTTGAGTAAATGTCATATATAAGTATAATAACATGTATACTTCTGTATCAACTTGTCAACGATTTCCGGTAACCTGAAATATAAATTATTCTACTATTTGTTTTTCAAATCTCAATCTTGAGAACTCCTCCAGATAGGTAGACGAAATTTCAAATATAAGTAAAAGATCTAATACTGTCTTTTATCTAATTTTGAGCAATTTCCGTTTAATATTACTTTACGCTATTTCCGATTTATCAAAAACCGCATACAAATTTTAAAGTACTAAAATTCCTCACTCTTTTACAAACACTGTTTGCTGTTCACTTGGTGCGCAATTCTTTTAGCTACGAGATTCTATTCTAAAAAGTTTAAGTAATTAAAAATTGATTAAAATCATGTCTATATACCGGGTTGCCATTCCCGTAGTGTTATCTATAATATAGCGTAGCTGGTAGTGTGTATGTCCGTCATCTCTATAGATTTTGAAACCATAAAAGCAAACTCACCACATTTCGTGCTTTTTGCTTGCATCGCGGAGTCTTATTATGAATAGATGAGTTGGGTTTATTTATATAACGACAAAAAATTTCTTTATAGTTGGTGTTGTTTTTACTCTTTCGCATAACGTCAATACAATTTTAAATAAACGCACATTGCTAAACATATTAACCAGATCAATGTCAAATAATACTTTCGCTTAGATAAGTAGAAAAAAAGGATACATTTTAATAACAGTAGGGTAAAAAAAAACGAATTAATTAAAATAATTTATAATTTTGCCAAGGGAGGTAATTTCAAAAAGATATTAAACTTACGCTATTTAAAAATGTCAATGCAAATTCTGCGGACGCGCAAGAGTACATTATTGTTAGAATATTATAATAAGCATAGATTGATAAAATGCACAGTGGCAGGTAAAACACGGATGTTTTAAATATTGCCTTTTGTTTATTTTATGGATAAGTTGGGGTATTATAATCGTTTACTAAGTTGAATCAGGCTGTTTCGCCGGCGCCCCGGCCGGGGGCGATTTACCGCCCCGGGCTGTGTTAGCACTATGTGTTTATGTTTGCATTTAAGTTGCGTTTATTTTTTTCTGTTTATGCGTTTGCATTTTCGTTTGTGTTTTTTGCGTTTGCGTTTGTGTTGGCGTTTGTGTTTGCATTGTGTTTGTGTTTGTTTTTTCTTTTGTGTTTGCGTGTTGCGTTTGTGTTTTTGTTTGCCTTTTGCGTTTGCTTTTGCATTGGGTTTGTGTTTTCTTTTGTTTTTGTGTTTTCTTTTGCGTTTGTGTTTGTGTTGAGTTTGTGTTGTGTTTGTGTTTGCGTTGTGTTTGCGTTTTCTTTTGTGTTTGTGTTTAGTTTTGTTCTGTTCCCAAGTTTGTACATTTAAAAAAGATTTACCGTGACGGAGCACGGGTATGCAGCTAGTATACGTAATTTCGAGATAGTTTAGTGGAGATCATTTCCACTTTATTTAAAAACATAAAACTATATAACATTTATAAAATAATAAAAGTATTACCATTGCTGGTTACATGGCTGACATGGATAGTGCTTCTGTCGTTGGCGAAATGTTCCACTTTTTGTATGCTTAAATTTGCCGTATATTTTGGGTTTCGTTTATCCATTCTGTATCTATTCCTTAAAAATATTAAGAAGACATTTTACGCAAGAAGCACTAATCTACTTAAAAATATGTGATATCATTATAAAAAGAATTCCGATACAAATTTAAAAGTAGCCGCCCATTAACAAAAACAGTTGTTCATGAACCAAAACATTTATTACGTTAAGCTGTAAAAACATATATTATTATGTAATCACCCGATATGCTAAGATATATCCGTTCGATAATTTGTAATAGATAGTATTAAGTAGTTAAAATATATATAAGAAATACTAAATCGAGTGGGATAACTAATGAGATTTAAATGAAAAAATCCCGATGGGCGAATAAAACGATGTAAAAATTTAATTATTTTTTATCTTGCTAGTAGAAAAAAAATACGAACCTGCTGAGCTTGTTTACCTCAACTGAATCTCAACTGTTGTATTTTTAACAACTGCAATACTCAAACGTAAAGTATACACAATCAGATTACCATGACAGTCGACCCATACCCTAATCCATTCCGATAAATTCTTTTTTTTTTATTTTCTGAAAAACTGGCGTTAGTTTTTCTTGAAAAACACAGTTATTTCCCACAAAAACTGTTACCTGTTTTAACGTGTTTGATAAGTGGGCCTGGAATTTGTAGGTTATTCAATTAATAGAACACTCATTTCAATAGATTACCTGTTTAAAAAAAAGAATTGAATAGTAAGCTACCCCGCGTTTCTAAAGAGTCAACACGTTACAAGGCCGTTTCAGGTTTAGAGTATTTAAAGAACTATCCCCTCCGTCCCCAACATTAATAATTTTTTAAAATTTAATCAAAGCCTGTCGCACAAAGCACACAAAATCTTTCGCTGAAACACGCTTTATGCCTACTGAAGCGTGGAGCTCAGTAATGCGATCATTCATACAAAAGCTTTATTGTTAGCCACACGTGACGTCTTTTGATACCGTCGACCCCCCCCCCCCTCCACAGATAACCACAAAAAATGTGTCCAATAATCTTTGCACATATAATATACAGCTAGCAGGAAAACTCTGGACGCAAGTAACTGTTAGCCACGCATTTTTTTAAAAAGAAAAATGTTAATTTGTTTATTTCTTTAGTAAATTAAACTTAAACACCGCAATACCATATAGATCTAATTAGCAGAATAATGTATGAAAATCTGTCTGAAAATTATGCTTAAATAATACAAAAACCACTTCACGCCCGAACGTAAAAATAGGTGTATAGAAAAGATTTATACTTTTACCAGAGTCGGCCCTAACCGCCTGGAAAACTTAGTCCGAATACCCCCGCCCCCCGTCCGAAAGTTTCAAGTGACCCCTCCCCACATTAGACAAAAAAGTCTGAAAGAAACACAGGGTTGAAGATCAGAGTCATATTTCAAGAGCATTTCGAGTCAGTGAGTCAGTGAGTCAGTCAGTGAGTCAGTGAGTCAGTCAGTAAGTCAGTCAGTCAGTCAGTCAGTCAGTCAGTCAGTCAGTCAGTTAGTCAGTCAGTCAGTCAGTCAGTCAGTAAGTCAGTCAGTCAGTCAGTCAGTCAGTGAGTCAGTGAGTCAGTGAGTCAGTGAGTCAGTCAGTAAGTCAGTCAGTAAGTCAGTCAGTCAGTCAGTCAGTCAGTGAGTCAGTGAGTGAGTGAGTCAGTGAGTGAGTGAGTGAGTGAGTCAGTCAGTTAGTCAGTCAATCAGTCAGTCAGTCAGTCAGTCAGTCAGTCAGTCAGTCAGTCAGTCAGTCAGTCAGTCAGTCAGTCAGTCAGTCTGTCTGTCTGTCCGTCTGTCTGTCCGTCTGTCCGTCTGTCCGTCTGTCTCTCCGTCTGTCCGTCTGTCTGTCCGTCTGTGCGTCTGTCCGTCTGTGCGTCTGTCTGTTTGTCTGTTTGTCGGTCTGCCTGTCTAACCCTAACCCTCAACTTAACCTGAACCTTAATGCTAACCCTAACGAATATAGCGGAGTGTTCTGGGAAGAAAACATACTCTACACTCAGCCTGTTTGTAATTTGGTAAAGGCCTACTATAGAAAGACTAGGAAATTTATGAAATACGATAGAAGTATGACGTATTTCATCCTTTTGATCTATTTCATTCTTTTCATTCATTGCATGCATTATATACATTGACTAGGTGTTCCTTAGAATACCGGTTTCTACACATTGCCGTTTTAACTTGAGCTTATATGTTTACCTAAAATCCGCTGTAACAATTGTGCTTTTTTTTTAAAGACTAGCAACAAGACCCCTCTACTAGCAGAGACGTGTTATGTCACGAAATTGCTTGCAGTTAAGTTACTTGAAGCCAATCACAAAGGTCACATGACTCATTTAAATGTAACTCGACCGCGAAACAAGTCGTGACACGTCTCTTCCACGGTGTTGGATGTGTGCCTAATAGTAATAGTACAAAACCAACCACCTAATAAAAATTGAACAACTTAAGACCAACGGTAAAGATAAGAGCGAAATTACTAATGTTTTGTATCGCCGTTCGACTCTTAACGTTCCAATTCGAAAAGCAACTTTAATCTGAATTAATGAGAGTTCGAATTTTTACAAATAGTTAATAATTCAACAATTAGATATGATTAAAATAATAAATCGATTGACCATCGATTTTGAAGATATATTTGTCTATGCTAAAATGCGACTTACGCGTTTCGTTCCTAATATATTTATAATTAATGTAAACAATATATTGCTAAAATTGCGATGCTGCTAATTGATATTTACGTTAATCTTTTTTTAAACGATCTATGAATACACTAGAAAAATATAGATTTAAATATTTCAATATGAGACTGATGACTCAGCCAAAACGTGTTTTAACGTCTACTTTTCAAGAAATTATTCGTTTGTAGTTTCTATAAAGTGTTATAGAGGACATTTTCGTCATTGAAAGCGTAACGAATACTATATGTTATAGAAAAGAAATGTTGGCATTGGAGTCGATCACTCATGACAGTCGAGATTGATTATTTCAATTCTACCGCATTTTCTACAAAAGTGGTCTCTTTTTAGAAAAATCTTGATCGATAAAAACGTTTCAATGTTATTTGAAAGTCAATAAGTACGTTCAAAACTGTTTTCGTGAAAACTTATAAATAACCTACCTACACTTTTATTTTCCCGTATACAGAGTATGAACGAAGTATTGTAATCGTGTCTAAAAATCACATGAAATTTTGACAGCTTTCACCGTTTGACGCCTCAGTACTTCACCATAGATACACGCAAATAAATAAATAAGCCTTATTACTTTCTCGTATATACGAAGTATAGAGAAAGTCTTGTAATCGTGCACAAAAATCACATTAAATTTGGACAGTTTTCACCGTTTTACTCCTCAGTCCTTCATCACATCCGGGATATAGAAGACTTATTTTAATCGGGCAAAAATTATAAACTCAGATATATAAAAATTTTGGCGTTTTATGCGCAATGGAGTTGGAAAAACTGGATTATCCAATTCTGTCCGTGTGTGTGTCCGTGTGTAAACACGATAACTTGAGTACCGTTACAGCTAGGTTGATGAAATTTCATATATAAGTATTTTATCAAAATCGTTGATCCGTATCAACTTTTGAGCGATTTCCGATAACCGGAAGTGGTACTTTTTCTACTTTGAATTTTTCAAAAGCCTATAACTTGAGTTCTATTTCAGATAGATAAATGAAATTTCACATGTAAGTAGAAGATCGAATTCTCTACCATCTGTCAAATTTTGAGTAATTTCCGTTTATCGGAAGTACTTATTTACGCTACTTCCGATTTCTCAAAAACGCATGTAAATTTATAAAGTACTAATAATATTGCGCACTATTATGCACATCTTTATTTAGCGTTCACTTGGTGTGTATTTCTTTTTTCTACGAGATTATATTCTACTAGACTACCCGTCATCCGTTGGATAACTGTGGGTTTCGGGGGTCATCCATCAAAAAACATCACGTCTGTCACTCAGAGGCATAGCGACCCTTCCCGGCGCCCGGGGACAAACTTTTCAATTCGAACCCCCCCCCCCCCCCCCGCAAGATTTCGATTTGCAACCTCCCCCCCCCCCAACTTTTGATTTGCACCCCCCCCCCCCCCTCAAGATTTTGATTTGAACCCCCCCCCCCCACTCAAACTTTCGATTTGCACCCCCCTCAACCTTTCAGTTTATTTTTCCAACCCATTTTGGCACCCCTAAGGCCCCCCCCCCCCCGCCCGGGAACATATGCCCCCCCGCCCCTCGCTACGCTACTGCAGTGTCACTTATCGTCACAAAAAAACAGACCCCACATTCAAAAATATGTTTTTTATCTTTTAAAAACACCGAAAACACCTATTTCGTACTATCCCTTCATATACTGACGTCACAGGTGACCTACTCAACTCTACTTCCACTGCCCAGTGTCCCGCCAAGTCTCAGACAACATGTTTTTATCGTTTAAAAAACGATTCCAGCCGAGCATGTCTCTGACCACACTATCCCTTCATATGCTTAGGACAAAGAAAGAGATGAACCCTACTTCACCTGCCCTGTGCCCCGCGAGGTCCTGCAACCTTATCATTCACATATAGGGCTTAAGAAAAAAAAATTGAAAACGTAAAAAAAGAAAGTTCTATTAATTTTTATGACACTGACTTTAAAATTTAGCCTTCATTCTCCAAAGCAAATTTTAAAATGCTTTTCTGGCATATCTAGCCCTGGCCACCTATACCATGTTTAAATAATGTGAACACCCGCCATTTTGCTCGTGGTAAACATGGCCTAAAAATTGTCGGAAGTCATGCGTCCGGTCCGGACGCCATATTGTTGTTAGCAGCCGACCGCGCCTCCAAGTTAGTGAGTAATCCTACTATATCTAGATATAGAACTTAGATAAAAAAAATCCCATGTATTCTCGAATTAGATGATCATTGAAGCTAAACAAAGATTTATATAAAATAATTAAGGCCTGAAATAGATTCTAGATGTAGAGTTTACATTAAGTCTAGATCTAGAATTTACATTGAGTCTAGAGTGACCTAGATTCTAGATCTAGGCTAGATCTAGATCTAGATCTAGAATCTAGGCTAGATTCATAACTTTCCTTCGACAGCTGATCTTTAGATCTAGAGAAATTTATTGTAAAACTAAATGAAAAAAGACAGTTGAAAATTGATATAAGTGTTGGAACGTAATAAATACAGCAAAGGGACGTATTGTTAAAGCTATGACCGACAGAAAATTAAATTTAGAACGCGTTAAACTTTTGAATGGGAACACAATTTTCTTCGATAGACGCCGCCATTTTATTGTACTAAAGAGTAAACAAAAAACTGTGACGTCACGGTCCCGCCGAGTGTAGTGGTCGTTCTAATCTTTTTAAAAAAATAGGGTTACTCTACGTATGAATAAATCAATAAATTAATTAACGTCTTTAAATAAATGTGTGATTAACAGTCTGTCTTAAAACAAAAATTTTTCTCTACCTACATACTATTTTACAGCTCTCAGGATAGAGTAGAACATATCACAATACTCGATCAGCCAAACAAAAAAACAAACAAAT